CTCCCGGCCCATCCAGAGGACTTAGCTGTTGGGTCGGAGTAAAGGGGAAGCGGCTGAGGGGCTGGTCGAGGTATGACTTGTTTCAACACACGTGTGAGAGGGATCGTGTGAGCTACCGCGTGGAGAGGAGACCAGGTTGAAGCGGGACTCTGGCCAGGAGGCTGCTGCAGTCACTCCCATGAGGGAGGACCTCAGTGTGGGGACGGTTGGGGAGTCCACTTCTGGCTTGATTTTGCAGGATGAGCCAATGGATTAGATGTGGGGTGTGAGAGGAGGAGGGTGTCCATGGCAAGGTTTCTGCCTTGAGGATCGTGTTGTCATTTACTGAGACAGGGAGGCTGCAGGACAGGCAGGTTTGGGGAGAACAATGGAGATTTCAGGTCAGAGGTGTGAGGTTGGCGCTCCCCCTGGGGTTGGGGAGATTGGTCCTGGGCCTGCCCGGTCTTGTTATTGAAGGGTGATTTCCTCAGGGGCCGTGAGGGTTCCCAGTGGGACCCTCCTGTGTCCCAAGGATCTGATCTCTCTTTGCAAAGCTTCTCCTGCTTTTCCCTTCCTCTGGACAGAGGGAAGAGGCAGATCCTAAGGACTCATTGCTGTGGGGTTGGTCCAGGCCTTCCTGCCGGGCATGCCTCTGGGTGGGAGTTCCTCCTGGGGTGGAGGACAGGGAGCCCTGGAGGGAGAGGCCTTGTCCTGACTCTGCCGCTAACACAGAGAGCTTTTTCTCTGTGCCTTGGTTTCCCCTCCTGTACATAGAAGCATTGAGCTGGCCCCAGGGTCCTGAGGGTGGCAGGGGCACTTGAGGAGGCCGCACAGCACCATGGTCAAGAACCAGAGTCCAGACACGGGATTGAATCCTTTCTCTGCCAAAGACGTGACCTCTCTGAACCTCAATGTTCCCATCTATAAAAATGGGCCAACCTCAGTACCTGCGTCTCAGGGTCACCGTGAGGGTTAAATGAGACAATGTGCACAAAGCGCTTAGCAAAGGCCCTGTCACACACAACACCCAGTTAACCGGCTGTTGGTAACAGTGGCCTGTGTAGCCAGTCAGATTGAAGGGTTTTGCCTGGTGGGTGGTGGGAGCCATGGAAGGTTATTGAGTAGGAGCATGTTTCACATGTGGGTTGAGGGGGCAACTGTTAGTGTGGAGACTCGGCTGAGGGCGGGCACTGATGGACTCTCCTGACCCTCCCCACCCAAGAGTCTTCGTTGACTTGGCTGGGCAGCCTCTGCCTAGGCCAGGTCCCTTGGGATGGGGTGGTCATTTTCCCTAAGGCCTCCTACAGGACCCCTTGCCTCTCTATCCCAGGGGCTGACCTTATGAAGTGAGTGAGGGGCATTGAAGGACGGGTGACAGTGAGGGGACTGAGTTGCATGTAGGCCTCTGGACAGGGCCAGCAGGGGCAGGGCGGGCCTGGAGTGCCATTCCACTGGGCACTTGTGAGCCAGGCCGGGTGGCGCTTGCTGCTGTGGGGCTGTGGGAAGGTTGACAGCGGTGGAATGTGGCCCCCTCAGGACCCACACTTCAGTGGTGCCCAGGCATGCTGGCTGGCCCTGTGTTTTGCAAGCCTGTTTCCCAGCAGTTGAGCCGTGCCAGGATGGCCAAGGACATTCAGAGTCCCCCAGGGCTCACCGCCAGGCTGTCACCAAGCATTGCTTGTTTTCCCAGGGTCCAAGGGTTTCTAGGGTTGGAGGAGGCTCTGGAGATATTCCAGGGACTTTTCTCACCAGCTGGGTAAATTAAGAGAGAGCAAGGCACTTGACCAAGGTCTCACAAGGCCGCCTCCTTCCTAGCTGTCACCTCCCTCTGTTCCCATGTCCCTTGCTCAGACTCCTGGCCTCCTGCCCAGATGTTCATATCAACCTCCATCTAGTGGGCTCTCCAAGAGCTTTGTTTGTCCTTCTATTATCATAATCTTGCCATAACCTGCCAGGCACGCACACTATTTGAGTGTGTCTGGTCTCCTGGTCCCTCTAGTCCCAGACAGAGCAGTGCCGCACCGAGATGCTGAGCTCAGGCCCGCAGCCAGACCACCCTCCACTGGAATCCCAGCTCCGCCCCTCAAATTCCAGCTCCGCCCCTCGAATCCCCTTCCTAGCTTGGTGACCTGGAGCCAGAGGCTCCACATTTCTCTGTCTCAGCATCTCCACTTGTGAAATGAAAACAGTAGCAGAAATGAAAACCTGCACGGAGTGAGTGCAACAGTGGTCACTTAGTTATCGGGCCATCAGTGCTGGTCACACTGAAAAGTCAAGGGCATGGAGGGGAGACAAAGCCCTGGACAGGGAGGTGGGAGATGCAGAATTCACTCTCAAGCACTGCCTCGGTGTGTGCTCTTTGGGAAGTCACTCCTCTGCTGGGAACACCAATTTCCTCACGTGAGAAAGAGAAATCCCTGCTCAGTTCCTATAAGGTTGTCATGTGACGCCAAAGCAATGTCTGAAAAAGCTTGGCATCTATGTAATGATTTAAAAATGGCACAGCAGTGGCTGTGGTGTGCAGGTGGTGACGAGGACATTGTAGCCACAGCAGTGGACAGCTGGCTTGGCTGCAGGCTGGTCAGCCTGCAAATGCCCAGCGCCCACGCGGGCTTCCCGTCCCCGCCTGCTCCCGGCCTCCACCAGCCTGCCTTTCACATTAGCCTCAGCATTGCGCCCTCCATGTGGGAGGTACAAAGATCCGATGGCATCCTCCAGACCCTGTGGGTTTTGGGTAATCTGTGGTTGATGTTACGGAATGCCGGGATGAAAGCCAGACACCAGTTTGAATCTCAGCTAAGCACTTCGCAGCTGGGAGCTTGAGCTTGCTTATCTGCCATGAGCCTCAGTTTCCACATTTGTAAAATGAGGCCCTGCAAAAGTGGAGCCACGCAGTTAGCAAAGGGCCCGCATCTAGTTACACAGCTGACATATATAATGTTGTCCACCTGGAGCGTGGTGACTTAGGGATTTATGGGGAGTGGGGGTCATTGTGTCCGTTTCTGGGGTGAGCTGTGGCGGTCAGTTATGATCCCTGCAGAATCTCCCAGCTTGGAGTTAGGAGGGCCCTTGGAGCCATCTGGCATTATTCCACTTTACAGGTGAGCAAAGAAGGCCCAGCAAGGAGCCGAGGCTTGCCTGAGGTCCCTGAGGCACTGAGGTCCCTGAGGCCACTGAGGTCCCTGAGGCACTGAGGTCCCTGAGGCCACTGAGGTCCCTGAGGCACTGAGGTCCCTGAGGCCACTGAGGTCCCTGAGGCACTGAGGTCCCTGAGGCCACTGAGGTCCCTGAGGCACTGAGGTCCCTGAGGCCACTGAGGTCCCTGAGGCACTGAGGTCCCTGAGGCCACTGAGGTCCCTGAGGCACTGAGGTCCCTGAGGCCACTGAGGTCCCTGAGGCACTGAGGTCCCTGAGGCACTGAGGCCACTGAGGTCAAGGCCAGGCTGGGACTAGGTGAGGCAAGCGAGGCCCCTGGAGCCAACCTGGAGGAGTGTTGACTCAGGTGGCTGGGAGGTGGCGCTCCCAGGGGCATACCAGCCCCTGAGGGGGGGCCTCCTGAACGTGCGCCTGCTGCCTCACTGGCCTCACCTGGAGGTCTGGGACTAGAACTCTGGTCTCCTGAGCCTTGGGAGTGTGGGGACACCTGTGAGGCACCTTCAAGAGTCTCACTGAGACCCCCTGGGTCCCCTGAAAAGGAGCCTGTGATATATAGGTCACCCGGCACGGTTTGCTGTGTCTCTGCTTTCTCGCTGCCTATGCTCCAGAGGAAGTGAGGCCCGCCTGTCCCCCACTGCTCCCTCCCCTGCTCCCTCCCCTGCTCCCTTCCCTGCCAGCTGCGCCTCTGTGTGAGCATATTGAGCCCCTTGCCACCGAGGTGTGTTGGCAGGGGCTCTTGTCATGGCGACAAGCCCCAGCAAGTCTGGAGGGACGAGGCCCCTTTCATGTGGGCCTTGGGTCTCAGCAGGCCCCGTGTTATGCCGGTCAGGCCTCCAGAAGATTAGGGGCTTCTGCAGCTCAAGTGCCTCAAAGCTTTCTCTCCCTCCTTGGTGCCCCAGAGAACCTGGCTGCCTCTCCTCTGGCCACAGGGCCTGGAGCCTTTCAGTTCTGTCTGGCAGGCAGCCTGGTCGGGGTGTATCCCCCGGGGCCAGTCTGCCCATCACCAACCACCAGGCCTCAGGTGACTTGTTAAGAGGTGGCCGAGACTGCTCATCCCTGCAGGGGTGCCTAGGATTTACCTGGGGCTGGCCGCATCGTAGGCCCCCCTCCTGGGGTGACAGGAGGGGCCTTGGACAGTCTGCCCCGTCTCCATCCCCAAGCCCCATGCATGCAGGCACGCCACCCTCCAATCCTGTCATTAGCAGGTTGCTTTGGGTGTCGCTAAAAAGGCAGAAACCCTGCGTGTGGACGCTCTCACACGGTCACTGCCGAGAAGGGGCCTGGCCCCTTTCCAGCTGCCTGTGGCCAGGTCGCTTCTTCCTGGGCTCCGTAAGGCCCTTCTCGGCTCCGGCACCTGACACTCTGGCCATCACCGGCTTCCTCCTCTGCAGGGCGGGGCCAGGGGAAGGGCCAGAAGCCAAAGCCACAGCTGCTTTGACCACCAGCTGACCCCGCCTGAGAATATCAGCCTTTCTTCTGCCTCTTCTCAGGACAGGTGGGGAAACTGAGGCCTGGAGCAGGGGAGGGCCTTGCTTAAGATCATGTAGGAGGTCAGGCAGAACTGCAAGCAGTTACGCTTGCTGCCAGCGAGGGCTCCTCCGCTCGTGGCTGTCACCTTTCCTGAGTGGGACCAGAAGCATAAGGGCCAGGGACATGCTTCCTCTTCTTCTGTGGAAAGTACCTACAGGCAGGGGTCCCTACGTTGGGGAGATCCCTGGGCTGGGGACTGAACTGGGCTGAGGCCCAATTGGTAGGTGCTGGTAGCCTCTGACTAGAGACATGGTGGGGGTGGGGTGCTGAAGGCTTCCGGGAACATGGTTGGTGGCTCAGGGTGCCCTGGGGCCACCCCTCCCTCCCGGGGAGGGGACTGGCCAACTGTAATGCCATTTGTCCTGGCTCTGGGATTAGGTGCGGCCGGCCCTGTTAAGTGAGGAGTGTGGAGCCATTGAGAGGACGCCGTGCAGTAAAGTGGCTGCTGCCTGGAGCTCTGGTGGGTCTTGTCATTCTCTCCCTGGGCTCCCTGTGCCCTCTGACCATGGCCCCTAGTGCCCTCCCTGCTCGCCAGCCCTCCCAGGTCTGTCTGGATGTTTGTGAGCGGCGTGTGCATGTTCATGTCCATGCAAGAGGGGCCCAGGGTGCAGAGGTAGGGGCTGGCTGGCCGCGGAGCCTGGCGCTGGGTCCTATCTGCCTTCAGGACCAGAGGCAGGTTCCTTCAGTGTCCCAGCCCCTGGGTCGCTGCAGGACTGGCCGGCAGCTTCCTGATGGAGGAGGAGGAGGTGTGGGAAGGAAGGAAGGGATCAGTTTCTCTTGAGACTTCTGACAGCTCGACAAGCCCTTAAATCCACCTGGAGCCGACAGGTCCGAGAGTTAAAGATTTACCGCAGGCGGCAGGGCCATGGGGAGCTGGAATGGTGAGTTCCAGGGTGCTCATGTGTCACGTTTGTGGCTTCAGTCCTGTCTAGACCATGAGAGCCACAGCTCATCAAAGCCTGCAGGGCCCCTAGAGGGTTTAGCCACCCTGAACTTGTGTAGAATGTGGGTGACAGTCCAGTAACAGCTCTCAGTATATTCTCGAAGGCTTCTGTCCCCAGGAGGTCATCAGTTTCCGATCTGGTTCACTCCTCTCATTGTCCAGTTGAAGAAACAGAAGCACAGAGAAGGACGGGCCAAGTCCGGAGGCACAAAGGCGCTGGGATGCTGATGTGCACTTCAGGCCCACATGGATTTTGGCTTCTGCATCCACGAGATGGAGGTCCCCAGATATGCCTGCTCCTTGGAATTTCTCATGGGGCATCTGGCGATGTGCGGTGGCATGTGGGAGGGCAGGAGCTGGCATTTCCCTGCTCTTCTGCAGGGGTGGCAGCCAGGGGAGAAGCTCAGGGCATGATAACTTGTTTCTGCTTCACTGGGAATCCATGACGATAAATGAGGGCATGGCGGGCCGTGTTTGCTACAGTACCTCGCATGCAGCAGGCCCGTGAGGTTTCGGTCACCATTGCCCTTCCTGTTGGTGGTTAGCTGAGATCTCCTGCTTCTGAGCTTCACTCCTGCCTCTCTTTCCTCGTCCTTAGCAGGAGGCCTCTTCCTGGGGCATGGAGGCAGCCCCCCTTCCTCATGTGGGGCTCCTGCCTGGGACAACAGAAGCCCCTGATGTAGGAGAAGGTAAGGACCCCCTAGCTGAGGTCCTGCCTCTCTGGGGACCTGTGCTGGCTCTTCTGCCAGTAACGGCTTTCCCGTTGCAGATTCTCCTGGGTTAGCCTACATGTAGGCAGCTGGGGCTAGCCGCCCGCAGAAAGCCTCTCCCTGGATATGCTTTGGGCTGAAGAGCTGGCTCAAGAATGGTGTGGAATGGTGGCTAGCATATAGAAGTTAAAAGCAGGGGCTTGACGTGGGCTGGCTTGGGCTTCTGGCTCCACCTCTGCCTAGCTGTGTGACCTTCAGTCAGTGGCTTACCCTCTCTGAGCCTAAGTTTTCTTATCTGTGAAGTGCACATGTCAGTGATACCACCTCTCAGGATGTGAGAATTGGGTGTGATAACTCAGGGAAAGCTCTCAGCACAGCCCGGGTGTGGGGCTGGTCAGTTACCAGGAGCTCAGTCACTGCCAGCTGCTGTCAGCCAGGGAGGTTATGGTATTTGCAAAGAAATATCACTCCAGTCTTTTTGAGTGCCTGTGATCTGAGCCTAAGAAAAATAGGAATGGATTTGATGGTATTGCACATGGATTTGGGGGTTGGGAGGAGGGACCCCAATTCTGGGAAGCTGATGGGCTCATGAGGATCATGCCCTGGGGTGGGCCTGCCCATCTGGGTCTGCGCTGGGAGCTTCAGGGGGACTGGAGCCTGACCTTGGGACAGGAGGGCAGCTGGTCCAGATTTGCTTGTTCCCCGCTCCGCATGTTTGCTCTGTAAGCCCTTTCCTCAGAGCTGGTACAAAGGTAAACTCTCAACTCAGGCCCTGTTGGAAGAAAGACAAATTCTCCACAAGCAGGTCTAAGTTCCTGAGGTTTCTTGTTGGGCAGTTCCTGCCGGGGAACCCACAACAACCAGGTTGAGAGCCTGCGAGTGAATCAGGGTTTATGCTTTGTTTGCTTGTACATTGATGGATGATTTGTGGGTCTGCTTCCAAGAAGGCTCATTAGAGTCTGCTTTTAAGTTAAAATACACATAAAATGGATGAAAACAAAAACAGAAAAAGCTCCATTCAAAGGGCGCAGAGAGTGGGGTGTCCTGGGTGAACACAGAAGGCCCGGGGTTTTGAAGGATGATGGGCTGGGTGGCTCTGTGCTGAGATTCCCCATCACCCACTCATGAGCTCTGTGTGCTGGGGTAACTCAGGGGCCCCCTCTGGGTCTCAGTTTCCTCATCTGTGAGATGAGTGGAAAGTAGCTGATGGTGCTGTCGTAAGGGTTAAATAATAGCACTCAGGCATATCCTGTCTGATAAATGGAAATTCGTATTATTAATGCTTTCAGCTCAGATACTTCATAGCAAATTCAAAAGGGGAAGGTAGCAGGCAAGGGCACATAGCTCATGGGTGTGCCGACCATGGGTAGGACATCACTTCTGCCTTGGAGGATTGCTTTCTGTGAAGTTGCGGACCAGTGTTCTAGCTGTAAGAGCAGCTGACATCTGGCAGTAAATCTGGCATTGCACGGTGGGATGCAGAGCAGGGGGTCGAGGACTTGAAAGTCACAGCTGGCAGAGTCCCACCTCCCGCTAAGGCTGGCCCGAGAGGGGGCTGGGCAGGGTTTTCTTGGAAAGAAAATGAACCAAGGTCGGTGAGGGTGGGTCAGGCCTAGCAAGTGCATCCCCAGGGGTCCTTTTCTCTCTCTGGGCCTCATTGTCCCTGTGTGCTCACTGCAGGGTGGTCTGCACACTCGTTGGCCTTGAGACTGAGCTGGACTGCAGCAGTCCCTTGGTGGTGGCCCTGGACTCCAGGGTGGCTGATGGGCAGCAGCTTGGCCCGGAGCCAGGCAGCGCTGCAGGGCTGTGGGGAATGGGGTGTGCATTGAATTCCAGCAGAGGAGGGATTTGCTGGATATGGGCCTCCCAGGGGTGTGATTGAGCTGGAGAAACTCCTGCACAGCTGGGAAGCAAATGTCGAGTATTTTCTCGGCTGTGCTGTACATGGTGGGTGGGGTAGGTTGGGGCAGGGTGGCTGGTGGAGTTTGGTGGCTGTGGGGTGTGTCTGGGTAGAGGGTGGTGAGGTGACTGTGCTGGGGGTGTGACAGGCTGGGAGGGGCTGGGCCAGCTGTGGGGAGGTTCCTGGGATCGCTTGTGAGACTATCAGAACCTGGACTGCAACCATCCCTCCACCCCCAAACCCAGTGCCCATTCACATATTTTAAAAAATATATACTTTTATTTAATTCAGAGAAGAAGGGAGAGAGAGAGAGAAAGAGACAGAAACAGAAACATCAATGATGAGAGAGCATCATTGATCAGCTGCCTCCTATATGCCCCACACTGGGGATGGAGCCCACAACCCAGGCATGTGCCATGACTGGAACTGAACTGTGACCTCCTGGTTCATAGGTCAAAGCTCAACCACTGAGCCATTCACATACTTTTGAGCTCTTTATAGGTGTCCTCCTGCACCTCCTCTCAACTCCCCACCCTATTCTCTTCCCTGTGGCCCAGATGCCTGTGATGGCACCATGTGACCATATAAGCATCATACGAGTTTTCCTGTGCTTTCGTGTGCATGTGAGTGTGGGAGATACAGGCATAACCCAGGCAAGAAATCGCATCTGGGCTGGGTGAGCATGCGGGGCTGTGAGGGCCTTCATTCTTTCTGTAGCAGCATCACAGGAGAGACATGAAGCCTCAGCCCAGAGGCCTGCACCTTCAGTGCCCAGGGCCATGCGTGCCCCTAGTGGTGCTCGGTAGGTACACAGGAGGGAACAGGGAGCGGCCATCTGCTCCTCCCTGACTCCCAGCGTACTCCCAGACCTGGCCTCCCCTCCTCGCTTTCTGGATCCACTATTAATTTGATACGTGGCCTTGGGCCAGTTCTTTCCTGAACCTCAGTTTCCAAGTCTGCTAAATGGATAATGTTTCTTATCCTACATCACTGTGTGCACGGCACTGAGCTGTCGTCTCTCTTAGTCTTGGCTGAGTATAAATAAGTAATGTAAACCCCATTTTACATTTGGGGAAACAGGCTCAAAGAGGTTGAGTGATTTGCTCAAACGTCACAAGGTTAGTAAATAATGGAGGCCAGTTCAAGCTCTGGCGGGTTGGCTCCAGGCTGAGCCCTTAACTGCCATGCCAGCAGCCACTGCTGCTTCCCAGGTTGTTGGGATAAAACAGCATGAGGCATACAGACCTTCACAGGAGGCCCACTGCACATAGTAGGCACCAAGTATATGCAAGTTATGTGTAGGTGCACGTCACCATGACAGGCACAAGAAGCTCAGTCATTGGTTGCACTTGCTGAGCCCACCTGTCCATCAGGGCAGAGCTGGACCCCTCCCCAGTCCTGATCTCTGGACCACTTGGTCTCTGGGAAGGCCCATATAACTCTGCCTCCTTTCTCTCTGGGCCCTAGAGAGGATTATGGGGACCCAGAGCATTTCAGAATAGGGAGTGGGGCAGGAGTGACTTTCAACTCCCAAGCAATGGCCACAGTTACCGTGGTATTTACGAAAGTGCGGCGTTGCCATGGTATCTCCATGACGACCAGAGCATCTCATTCATTATCCCCAGCACCTTGGCAGGGAAAGCTGGACCTAAGGCTGGGAGAGCGCAGTGGGAGCCTGGCTGAGGGCTAGAGGCCTCTGTCCCCTCATGCTGTCCTCCCATCCCAGCCAAGGATTCCCTGCAGACCCTGGACACCCTCTCATGGGGTCTGGATTCAAATTCCAGCTCTGCCACTGACTAGCTGTGCAATTTTGGGCAAGTGACTTAATCTCTCTGAGCCTCATTTTTCTCAATTGTAAATGTGAATAACATCAGTATTAGTTGTAAAAGGGCTTAGCACAGGGCCCAGCTCATGGTAAGTGCTCAATACATGGAAGCAGTAAAAATAACAATGGTGACAATTATAATGGTTTTGTTTTTTTTAATTATTATAGAAACCTCTGAGTTTTTTGGAGGAATGACAAGATTTTGAGTCAAGGTTTAGCAGTTTCCTACGTGACTGTGGCAAATCACTTCACCTTGAAGCCTCAGTCTCCTTATTTGTGAATTGGGGGTAATAACAGCAGCTCGTTTATTCATATCCTGAGCACCCGAGAAGGACCTATGCCTGGGAAAGTCTTGGGAGCTTCCAGGATAAATCAGACTTATTCCTGCCCTACAGGGCACCCAGGCATTTGGGGAAGGGAGAGAAAGGAAGTTGGTATTTGCGGAGGCCCTCTGTGTGCCAGCTGCCAGGCAGGGCCTGCCCGCATAGAGATCAGGAAGTCCTGGTCCAGACCTGGGACCGGCAGGCTGCAGAGTGCAGAGCTGTCCGTGGAAACACCCTGGGTCTGCTCTGTATGGACCACACGCTCAGGTGCACTCAGGGGCTGGGCGGGAAGCCAGATGAGGGAAGGAGGGGCCTGTGGCACTGTGCTGACTGGGAACACATGGCCAGCCTACCCGAGGCCGGTGCTGTAAATGCCTCCGCTGATGGTGGCCAGTGGGGACGTGTGCCCCGTGTCACCAGAACCTGCTCATTTTAAAGGCAGCCTAGAAGTTGTGTGAAAATCCCCTGATTTTAAAATGTTGATAACTAATCTCAAAAATGTTGTGCAGGTCAAAGGGCACACATCTGCATCCTGTTCTGGCCTGAGGTCCTGATTTTCAGCCTTGGCTGTGGCGTGGGGATGGGTGGGAAGCCTGAGGAATGGGACCCTTTGGGGGCAGGAAGGGTCATGGTGCGTGGGGATGACTTCAGAGAGGTGATGACATTGGAACTGGGGTCTGGAAGGATGAATAAGTGTCCCAGGGGTAGGGGAGGCATTCCAGGCAATGGGAACATCATTAGAAAGGCCTAAATGCTTGACCAAGATTGGTGACTGGTTGGGCGAGGCTGGAGTTTGGCTGGTGATGTCAGCAGGGTCCAGGCAGGGTCCAGGCCCTGGGCAGTAGGGGTGGTTGAGGCCTCAGTTCCCAGCTGTCTTTGAGGCCTTGGTGGCTCCAAGGGGGATTAGAAACCCTTCAGCTCCCCATCCCTGGAGCCCGGGGTTCTGGCACGCAGGCTATTGGAGGCCTTGAGTGACTGGGGTCAGACCTGTGAAGGAG